CAGGACCCATTGCTTCTCATTTAGACGCCATACTTTGAAACGAAAGGAGAATGCGAATTTTTATCGTGATGTCGGGATTCAGATGGGAAGAAAATTTCCCCAACCAGTTTATTGACTTAGATCCATTAAATCCATTCACAACTGAACCGATACGAAATGAGGGTTGAATCCTATATCAGATAGCGACTAAACTTGATGATAAATCGTAATAGTTAGGTTATATATATATATATATATATCAAAGGAGATTTCGTCGTTTATATAGCAAATGAAGCGTGGAGTGAAAAGCTAGAAAGCACTCGACAGCCATTTCAATCTGGTTGGGTCTCATCAGCACTGCGAATCCATCGACCCAACTGGAGATCTAACCCGGGACCTCACAGGCAGAATGCAAGCATACTACCCGCTCCCAATAAACGGTGTTCCGGTTGGTTACCTTCATATATATCTAACACGTTTGCTATTTTTTGCGGATGCTTAGATCTATTTGTCACTACTACGGTGATTTGTCCTCGCTCAGAGTCAAGTGCCTTCCGCGTGATGTAACCGAACTTCCTGGTAATGACAAAGATTGTCCTTTTAGACAGAAGAAACACGGGTACTTTTCCGTACATCTGGTAATACGTTCGTGTCAGTTACATTTTAACTGCATGCTTGGTACTGTAGAGTATTACAGAGTATATGTAAATAAACCTGATATTTATAAATTCCAAAAGACTGTATGTATATATTATTCATGTATTCACGTTAAAACTTGATAAATCTGGTGAAAATGGTGATTAGAATACCATCATGGGCAATCCAGGATCCATGAAGGTTAAACTGTGAGAGTTAATTTCATGAATTTAGGCGTTGATCAAACTCGGGCAACATGACTCTCACGATAGAAATCAGTTTTCATTTCAAATATCATATTTGTGTATTGAGGGCTGTGGGTGGATTGTATTTATACCGAATTTTATTTTTAAAGGCATCGACCAACAGGAGCAAAGGCAAATTGTTGATATTATTACAGATATTTTGCGTCTGATGTGAGACAATATGATATTCAATTTGATGAATGAGGCTCAAAACACTAAGCGTTGTGGTGAACAAATGTGAGGAAGTTTGGTGTGTTGCACGAGTCTGATCAATGCCTGTAGTTGGAGGGATCGGGGTAGACGGTTTCTCCATTTAGCAGCTAGTCTAAGTCATCAAACTTTTTCTTTAACCCAATCATGTTCCATCTAACCTTACAATTGTTTTTCCAACAGACGTTCTCGACATGGACATCACAAGAAATCCCAGCATTAATTGACCTGGCTAACAACAGGATGCACTGGGAAGAAATTTTTTTCACGAATGCCGTCTTACCTGTCAGGGGTATTCTTGACTCCCTCGAAAACAGCACCGTTCATAATAAATTCGTACAAGCTTACCCGGAGTGAAGAAGATAGAATGTGGGAAAAAATTGGGTTCACTAATACCACGGAGATCTTTTAAACTGTGACCGCTACCGCAACCTTAACAAGAACTGGATGCGGGAGAACATTATCAAGCAAGTACCAGTAAAAGTTTGACCCGTTTTTACAGCCTACTGGTCTACTCTGATCACTTGATACCAACGCAGCTTACTCTGTCCAGGTCTACATAATACGGGTAACCAATGCAGTACTGGTGTGGAATTAGCTGAGAGACGGTTCCGCCATCTTGGCAACACCATATGCGACTGGGGAATGTTGGTTATCAAAAATTTATTACATACCATCTTGGAAATCTCTATGACATTCCGCAAACACTTACCCATTTATGCGCACATGGATCATGTGGTAACTTAAAGGTCAGATTTCTTTTAGACTACCCAAAATGGCTTCAACAAGAATGACACATTTAAGCTATAAAGGAAGCAGTCACCGAAAGTCATTTACTTGAACCTCATGCGTTTTACTAATGATTGGTTAAACCATCAATGAAATCAACAATAATTATTTTAATTTATCCATTTTGTTCATAAACCAGTACAAATTTAACCTCCCTCGCTGTTGTCAGTTGTCACTGAAAGCTGACAGTAATCAAAAATTGTGTAACAACCATACACTGATTGGCAGCTTTACACGTTCCTCTTCCGTGGCCCTCTGTAGTAGTAGCAATAGTATCAAGCATCCCCCAAACCTTTGGATATTTATTCTACAATTACTGTTGTCACAATATCGTTCCAAACAAGTGTACATGACATCACTATTCAGGCATACTACATCAGATCAATGTCATCTAATCCTCCACGTAAAGATTTGATCTCGGTAGTCACATATATTTCGGTGCGTCACGCGATTGACAGGAACGCCTGGAAATCTTGAATAAGGCTGCTCGTATATTCCACTATCAAACTCCATCATTTCACCTCTCTGCCTCTCGCACCGGCCCGTTCCATCTCACACTGTGAATAGAGAAGACATGTGGACTTGAACTGTGCACAGAAAATTTGTTTGATTGCTTTTATAATTTTCTCTTCCTTTTTTGTCTAGCTACTGCCCAAGCGAACAGACACTGATTATCTGAGTGTAACGAACCTAAAGAAATGCGAACCATATGTACAAAGTAATCGTTTGTACGCTGCGAACAGCGTGAACTGTAAAGTTGAGTTGAGGTGGGCTGGAGTGTGGGGACAAGAGAGAGAGAGAGCAAATGATAAAGTGTGAGAATGTTTGCATCGGTTTGAACATAAGCGACAATGGTATTTGTGGGACCAGTGGGTACGGGGGGAGGGGCGGAATCGAGGGGGACAAAATGAATGAAGGGTGGCAGTATGTTTGTTTGAATATTCGAAACACGTTTAGGACGCGGGTTACAAGAGCACACTTGTGCTGTGCCACTTTTGTTATTGCCGCTGCTGCTGCTGCTGCTGCTGCTGAGATTCGAGTAGTCTGTCAACAATGCATACACAGATGAGTTGATTACAAGTATGCATGATCGAGCGCATAATCGTGTATATGAGCCTGATTGTGAATACGTATGTATGTATGCACGTATGTGTGTATTGCGTATGTGTGTGTATTTTATGAAATTCTTACACACGGTTACCTCCCGTAACTTCTGCACAAAGGTAAATAGGAGAAATATAGACACACCACCCACTAAATATTTGTTTATCAATGAAGTAATTCGTTTAATTTAATCAAATAGTTGACAATGTTTCCGTATACGAATTCACTGGAATGAACACTGGACGATGTAGGGTGGCTGATACTGGGATTGAGTGTAAGTGCGTATTGCTGTTTGTACTGTTGTTGGTGCTGTTGTTGGTAGTCGTCGCGTTGGACTGGGTCACAGATTCGGGAGAGTCAAAACTGGATTCGGACAAACCGACAGATCCTGACAGCTCGGTCTGTTGCTTGTTGTCCGTGGTCAGAAAATTGTGCGATTTACACTCCGAGTTGGAAAAGTTGTTATTCGATGCTAGTTGTTGCACTTGAAATGGACAAGCATTGGACTGAACTGTTTGATCACTCTGTGTGGTGGGGAAAACGAACCGGGAATTATTCTGACCGGTTCGGTCATCATTTGTACCCGGGATCGGATTGATGGGTTGGCCTGGGCCACCGTGCACGAGGGAAATGTGTTGTAGCAGTGGGTTGAGAGCGGTGAATTTGATTGGATTTATTGAGGGGCAAAGTGGACAGGAGAGAATGGTGTCGAATCCAGAAATCATTTGTGAATCGGCGAGCAAATTCGGACCACCATTCATGTTATACTGTCGTATCAGGTTGGCCTGGTACGTGTTGGTTGTCTTTGTTGTTAGCATTTGGTCTGTGGCACATGCAGTTTGTGACGGCTGACGACCGTCTTTCTGTTTTCAAAAGAGAGAAAGAAATATATACCATTATTGAGTTAAGGACAACTGGGGATATCGATATTGTGAATATAAATATGTGTATGTATATATAGTCATCACCGTAATGATTTTGACGAAATTCATAAATTTGAGGCAACCTACGGAAAAATAATCCAGGTTTAAAGTGCTATGTAACCCGAAAGACTGTTCATGTGTACGCCGATCGGTCATGCTGATTTCTCAACGGAACTGAAAACAGTGTGCAAACCGGATCCAATTTGTATTTGCACTTAATTCCTGCGAATTCACAGACTTCGCATTGTGTGTGTATTGTCTACTGTTCGAATCCCTCCCGGGGATGAAAAATACCAATAATTGCTCTCATATTCTGACCAGGACTTGGTGGACCATTATATACAATTCAATGACCGTCTAGTTTCATTTATTTCAATTCTTATAATTGACCCATCAAATGTGGTTGGGTTTTGATTTTTATTATAATTAAAAGCTTACGGTTACCCCGTTTTCAGCAGGGGCCCCAAATATGAAAGCGGATGATGATCCAATGCGGTTTAGGAGAAGACATGTGAAGATCTATTCAGTTTTGCTTTCCTGTTTACGTGTGTCCGAATGAGAATTGAACAGTCCGTTTGCATTGCAAACAAACAGTTTGGGTCGACCGAACAAACAAGTGTGAATGCAGTAAGTGAAACCATAGATCTTTGCCCCGGGTTTTACTTTCAAACGACCTACTATTGTGTACGTACGTCCTGTCTAGTCGGTCATAGCTCAATCAGGTCAGGAATTCGTTTTGAATGCATTGTGTCGGTTTACACACACACACACACATGTCTGATTTGTGTCTCGAATGTTCAGACATACGCGCACACAGTATTCGGACGCATTTGCTGTTGCCATCCTGAAACGAAAAAAACTCAGTTCGATTTCGTTCGTTTTAGATGGAAGCAAGTAATGTTCGTATTGCTATTTCTGCTGCTGGTGGTGGTGGTGCCAGTGGGCATTAGTATACTGTTGTGGGTAATACATATATGACTTTGAGGTAAACCACAACACAAGAAGTGGGTGGTACGGGTGGACCTTCCATGTCGGCAGGTCACTGGCACAGATTTGCCTTCTGAATGAACTATCTCGTCCAAATTCAGACAATATAGAAATAAGCATCAAAAAAGGGAGGGTGCGGTGTCCGCGTCTGTGTTTCTGTTTTGTATTTGCATCAAATATTTTCAGTGGTCACCACTTGTGCTGTTGTATTGCGCTTTTTCTTGTTGTTGTTGTTGTTGTTGTTGCCACGTTGCTTTTCCAAGCCTGACACCTGGTTCAACAGTGTGTGTATGCTGTGCTCGTGGTTATTTTGTTTACCTTCCGTGGTTGTAACGGGGTGCGGAACGGTTGGGTGCATGGACAATATGTGGCCCGACAAAGAAAGGGTGGTGTGCCAATGTCTTCTTTTGCAATTGTGTCCGGATAACTTTGCTTTCGTGTGTGTGTATATGTGTACTTGACATTATGTTCGAAGACATTACATATTTATGTGTGTGTATGTTGGCCTAAAGTGTTGTTGTCAGATCAATATCTCAGTTCGTGAGAAAATTATGATGATCAAACCAATTTGGTCACATTTTATTATGCACGGATAGACAATCGGACAGACAGATAGAGAGATAGACGGACAGACAGGTTCACCTGTCTGTACATACATACATACATACATACATACATACATACATACACACACATACACTGATGTCATCGTGGAAAACACGATAAACTACGAAGTAAACAGTTTGACAAGGGAGTGGGGAGGGGAAACAGAGAGACGGGTGAATGGGATGTCGAATCTGTATCTTGTTGTGAGGACGATAAGTTTCACATCGGCCGTAGTTCTACATGGAAGAAGGTCAAACATAAACTAAAAATCCACATATCCAATGTCCTTATTTCGATTCAGTTTGGGTTCAAATTCAAGTTTCCCTAATTTCCTATTGTTTCAAAAACTGTTTAAAGAATTCTTCCGCAAAGTCGTAAATTTAAATTTAAAAAGTCACCCTGTTCCGCAGTTTTCACACAGTCTGTTCATGTTCCTATTTCAACCCGCGGATAATGACAATTTTCTTAATTTCTTTTATTGAATACACAAATGCACACTAATTTTGAGGAAGGAGGGAGCTACAGCCATTAAAGCTCTACCTGCAGACACAGTGAAGCGGAAATTTGACTTCTACTAAAATAGAATACAATGAACATTTGAATTGCTCTCCCAATGTGTTGGCGGTAAAAGGTATCCAAATTCTTGTCTTGTATATATTATTAATAATGAGACCGATTAAGATCGAAACAGTTGTTCTGGGCCACTTATCAGAAACAGCAATATTTTACCTGGATAAATGACAATTCGCTCGTAATAATATTCTTTTTGATATTATCTCTTTTATTTGTGGTTACAGTGGTTAGATTGGCATAGTAATTCTCATCCATGTTTTAACTAGTGTTATGAGCTATTCGGTGTAACAGAATTGGACCACCGATAAAAATTGAAACAGAATAACACTGTTGTTCCTATAATTCATTTTTTACGTGATTCATTTCGTTCTAATTCACTGCTAATTCATCCCAGGCTCTAGGTGTTCTTGCCGGACTCGTAACTTTCGGTGTCTGGTTGAGTTAGTTGGTAAAATTGAACTCGCAAATATCGGCTGGGCTTTTTCGTCTATAGACGCGAGGTAATGAATGTTAGTAGGCTTCTGTAGAGTCAAGCGAGAAACACTGATGGATTATAAGCCACGAGATTGAATAGTTGCGCTACATTACTTCACGGCCTACGATTACTTTTGCTTTTTATGTGCTACCTTGTATTCTAGTAAACATCTAAACGAATATATACTAGAATAGGGAAGGATATGAGAAGGGAATCACAAAACACTGTAGCTAACCTTGTATATTAAATGAAGGAACGAAGTAAGAAACATCTCGCTAACTAGATAGGGATCTGATACACGTGCACTGGAAATATTTCTTTACACAAAGATTACGCGTTTTACAGTTGATCAAAACGTAATGCTTTATACCGAAACGTCACAATTTGCTTGATTTGTGTATTTCTGCGCTGTTATTTTTCCGCACAAATATAGGTAAACCACCGACGTTAATCGATCCTGTCTATTGCCACATCCGCGCCACATATCGGGCGCAGCCGGATTGCGTCAAATGTTTTGAAGTGAAAAATGTCGATGTTGTTCATTTTGCAAATTATTCGTTTTTTACTCTCTGAGTTTCTGTTTCATTTTCTTCAAAGACAATCATGTTGGCTTGATAGTACCGAAATTTTTCAATGTGTTGGCAAGCGCCTAGTTCAACAGATCCAAAAACTCTTTCAGTAAAACAATGAGCCTCTCCCTCTGTGTGTGTGTGTGTGTGTGTGTGTGTGTGTAGTGCTCGTGAAGGTATGGGGACGTGCAAAATGCACGATCGAAAAACCAAACAAATTATTAAACAATTGCAGCAGCGTATCACCCCATACACTTGTCTGTGTGTGCGCGCGCGCGCGCTCTTGATTGCTTGCTTGTGTGTAGCGAAATTTCAAACTTTGCTCCGCGGTTTAGGAACAAAATTTTGATTGATCGAGTTGTCTACCACTTGCCACATAACAAGCGAATATCTTTGTGTGTATGTGTTTGGGCGTGCATCGACTTTCAGAGGCCGGAACTGTCACAACGCACACACACATGTGCGTGAAAGATGCATTTTTGTTTTATTTTCTGACCGTCAAAAGGTGAATGAATTATCTCCGACAAGTAATATTTTTGTTTCAATTAATTTGTTCAACAGTTAACCATGTTTATGGTGATAAAGTGCACATTTGGGTTGCTAGTTCATCTTGCATAGCCAAACATGCAACTTACTACTATCACTGTAAATGTCTACCAAATCCGCTGAGGTCAGGTTACTGGATATTTTTAGCTCGTAGGCAGTAGAATTCTGCTGAAAATTTTGATATAGACTGAATCTGGGGAGAGGATGTGGGGTGGGGGTGGGGCAGGAATGGCTTCAACCGAATTTGATAACAATAGTGAACTAGGTGCGTCCCGATGTCCGACTTGTTCATTTGAGAAAAGTATTGGATTCGGATTCCATTTCGAGTTGGGGTCGTGATAAAATCGATAAATGATAAGCCAATTAAGTGCTCCGTTATTTTCTTCTTTATAAAATAAATGACTGCTCCCCAAAATTATCCAGGTATCAATACTAAGTAAGCAATGCATGATGCACCTGCGTTTCATATTTCAAGCATAATTACTCCGAATTCCTACTCCACCTAGGTATTTTGCATTATATCAGGCCGATGTATTCACCTTGGAATATAAGCAGTTATGTTCAATCACCTGATTAAATGTTGCTGTGTCCTAGGAGAATTTAGTCGTTCAATCCTTATTGGACAACTCATTATTGCATTTAGTGAAAAAGACACGGTTTTTGGTTTAATGCTGGACCCAAAATGTCTCAGTAATGGATTGGGGTCTCTCATATGTCATCATCTTCGTTAAGTGTAAAGTGAACATAATAACTTTCTACGGTCTAGCACCAATCACACATTGGTAGAAACAGTGTATCCTATGTACTTATATTTTTATGCTTTATTAATCAAATTGATTCAATTGTGAACAGATTCAACGTGTCAATCATAATTCTTTGGAAACACCACAGAGCTACTACAGCAAGTATGTTAAGAATCATCAGGAATTCACAACCACCACATCCATTGGTGACGAGGATCAAACTCGTGACGAGAAGGATTCCTGTCTGATTTGCTATTCCATCGTGTTCCATAGGCATATTTTTAAATAGCTTATGACAGCAAATGCCATGATTTTATTCACCATTATGACATCGAGCAATGCAATAGATCTTTCGAAATTGAGGAGCATTAGAGCTTTCACTCACGCTGTTCGTCAGTTCGATTAAACGTCTTCTAACTAACAGCAAAGTATGTTTAAGCTCAGTCAAATGTACGGTAAATGAACACTGAGTAGGTTGCGGCAGTTAGGTAATGTTTCCAAACCCTTTCGTTTACTTTTTTCACGTTCTTAGCACGACAAGTTCACACCAATGAGTGGTACCAGTGCTTAAACACTACAACTACAATAGTCAACACTTGTTAACTTTAATTCCATCATTAAATCAGGCAGGTTGATGTGATTAATCACCAGCATCAGCGAATACATGGAGAGAGGAAGAAAGTAAACAGACGACTTTGACTAATTTGGTTTATTTTTGGTTCCCAGGGGAGGGGGGTAAATAGTATCTCACAAGAATGAAAACTTCTCAAAAAATTATTGTAAAGATGCATTCCCATTGAACTTTGTTGAATTCCATCAAAATTTCTTTCTTCTATATAGTACTTTAAAGTAATTTATTATCATACCGTTTTTTTCGCAGACTAATTACCATGCGTTGCGGAAAACAGCTCGACAAAGGCGGCTTTCAAGGCCATGACCTTGGACAAATGGATCGGTGCAACAGTTTGTTATCCTCGTGACTCAGCCGTGGGAGAAATGTGCGCATTGGATGGCCCAGGTCACACATCAGTGAAGCAGCAAACAATCAGTACATTTGAGATTTGTGGATGGTTTCAATGATCAATTTGGAATTCATTACCGAAGTGCGTCGAAGTCGCCTCGATTATTTCGTTCTAAGTCTCTCCGGCAAACAGCACTGAGAGCGAAATGCTAATCGAACTTTGTGCTCGCTTGCGTGCGTACGTGCATGCGTGCGAGCGTGCGCGTGAACCAAAACTTCGATAACGAAGTGGGCTGTTCCACGCAAGCAAGTTGTGTACATGTTAAACTTACTGGAGCAAATTTCACCTAATACGAATGCGTTTAGCATCTCAAAGTTAACAAATGTACTCGCTTCTAGCGTGTAGCTCATTTGACCCTAGTCCACCAACACATTGTGCACGTCCCATGTGATAATAACCGAAGTGGAAGACAAGCACAGGCTAAGTTGGTGGGTAGAATAGGCAGGTTGAAGGTCAGCGAGGTGATATTGTTGGATGAAATTAGCACAAAAACCTGCCTCGACAAATACACATGAATGTGCACCACAGTGAATACGAATAAACAAGCACACACACACACAAGCAGACTTTTAAACTTACAAATCCAATTCTTTTGGATTGACCGCCTGGTACAAGGGAGGATGATATCCTGGTCAGTTGCTTGCCTGCTTGATTTTGTTGTTTTCGCCAGACCGAGTGAAGACAAAAACGTTTTGCTCGACGCAAATGTCCGAGGATAAGGAAACGTTTCGATCCATTGCTTGATCGTGTGCCTGTCTCGTCCGGAGTTGATTTAACGTGACGCTTTTTCAGCGGAGTCGAAGACGGTTTCAGTGACAGATTGAGAGGCAAGTGTAACTGCGCAGGGGATTGAGAAAATCAGTAGGGGAAATGTTCATCTGTTTTCTTTTTCCCCTCTGACTGTAGAATACAACGACATGAATAATAGAAGTCATGATGAA